TGGTAGGGTGGAGGGACAGTGCAGGAGGGGAAGACCCTCTATGAGGTGGATTGATTCAGTGACTGGGGTAATCGGGATGGGAGTGTCGGAGGCAATGCGATTGGTACAGGATAGAGCAGAGTTTAGGGCTGTTGTACATAGGGTCCCTATGAGTCGCAAATGACTTGACGACACATAACAACAACAACAACACTTCCTCAGATCACTCATTTTTGGAACAAGAATAAATATGGTTATCTTCCAGTCAGCTGGCCAGATAACACAGAACACACAGATGTTTGTAACCTTACACTTTAAAAAATGTTAGGTAATGAAGTGAGGCATGCAAAAATGGTATGCGAAGACAACTTCCAGTCTATTAGGTGTAGCTATGATGCCTCAGCACTTCCCTTCATGACTCAGAGGCGACAGATGAGTGCAAGCAGCAGTGACGATCTGTCCAGCCAGCGCCAACATTACCTATTATATGTAAACTCCACATCCATAGGCTCAAAGTTATATGTCTGCTCGAATTCTGGATTCAGTTTAAGAGTTACTTCTTCTTCATGAATCTAAAAAAGACATAAGAGTATTTAATTCCAATATGTTCTATTTAGCTTCTTGAAATATTACATCTTAACACACATCGAACATTTATCCTCTAGATTTGAGCTGTAATTTGGCATTTTGAATCTCTGTAAAAACAACTGAAAAGAATTAAGCCATGATTCCATTAACTTTTATGAACTTGTCAGCGCTTGTGGCTACTGACCATGCTCACTTAAGCTAGGGAGACAGGAGAGGGGGTGCAGACTCCTGAGCTTAGAGGAGGCGTGAAAACCCCCCAGAATGCTGGAGGGTGATGTGCAAAGTCTCCATAAATGATCACCGTGAGATACGCCCTGTTGATGGCATAGGAAACTAGTTGCTCCAGGAAATGCCCCAGTTCAGCCCATGTCAACTGTCCCTGTTCTTCCCTCAGACAGGGAGGGAGGAGTGGAAATTTTTGAGGAAAATGGGAAGAGAAAACCCTAGAGCTGGTGAGAGTTCAAACCAGACCAGGAGAACAGGAAAGGCAGGGCAGGGAAACAGAGGGGTGGGTTCTGTGATCTGGGGAAGACCCCAAGACTAACAAACCAGGGCAGTGGCATGCAGGTCAATGCCTCACACTCCTGCAAACGGGGATGAGAGAAACGCAGCCGAGGAATTCATAACCAAGATACCACACACACAAGGCCAAGACGTTGCCTAGAATGAGGGTCAGTGCAAATGCAAGACATGGAAATGCAGACATGGAAACAGTAAGAACTCAGAAAACTATGAAAAAACACTGGAGAAAGATGATGGTTGTTGACAGGTGGCATGGAGTTGACATTAACCCTGACTGATCCTATGAACAAACCAGAACTTTATTCTACCCTGCACCATCTTCATGATATCCCATATGCTCAAGCCCCTGACAGTCACTATGTCATTCCACCTTGTTGGGTGTCTTCCCCTTTCACTGACCACTGACTTTTCCCAGAATGATGTCTTTTTCTAAGGATTAGTCCTTCCTGACAACGTGCCCAAAGAATGTGAGATCAAGTCTCACTGTCCTAACCTCTAAGGAGCAATATGGTTGTACTTTCTCCGAAGCTGACTAGTTCTTCTGGCAGTCCATGGGACAGTCCACACTCTTCTCCAACACGACTCAAAGGCACTGGTTTTTCTTCTGTCACCCTTCATGGTCCACCTTTCAGACGCATAGGAGTCAAGTGAAAAGCGCATGGTGTAGATCCAGGGCACCTCAGTCTTTAACAGGCATCCTCGAGTGTTAGCAACTTGAAAAGGTCAACACAGATTTCCCCAAAGTGACAGGCCTTTGGATTAGACTGCGGTTCCCGTGAGTGCTGACTGTGGATCACTGCCAACGTCAGTCTTTTCTCTAATATGCTCAGGGACGAGGATTTTTGTCTTCTTGGTGTTGGGATATACCCCACATGGAAGGTTCTACTCTTTAATCTTCTGCAGCAAGTACTTCAAGAACTTTTCACTTTCTACAAACAAGGTCATTCATCTGTCCACCACAGGTTGTCGACAAGGCTGCTTCTTCAATCCTGATACCACATTGAGAAGAACATGATAGGGAAACTATGCCCACTGAAATGAAAAACAAACAAAAATGACTTAAACCTGAACACAAAGTTCAAGTCTTTGAAGAGATTATAGTGAGCGGAGAGGTCTGTACTGGAGTCCACGAAGTGCTCTGAGGAGGGAAGACGTGCAGCTCCGGAAAGCTCTGGAGGGTTTACAGCACCAGAATGAACACGGCAGTGGTGAGGCTGCTCAGTGCTGTCTGTAGTACAACTGTACGGCCTGAGCTGTAAAACATTCAGCTGCTGCCCAACACCTGGGCAGCCTGAAGCCAGCAGCTGCTGTGGGAGAAGGATGGGCGGTCTGCTTCCACAGGTGTACCTTTACCACCCCAAGGAAGTGCCGCTTGGCTCCCAGGCCTGAACACCTGGGGACAGACAGTGGCAGTAAAAAAAACAAAAACAAAAAACAACCAAGTGGAAATTGGTGCTACAGTGGTTAAAGCTGTCAGCTACTCACCAAAAGGGTGGCAGTTCCAAGACCCTTTGTCCTCTGGGGTCACTGTGAGTTGGGACTGTCGTGGCAGCAATGCTCTGGTTTGGCACCAGTGAACTTAAGAGTGCTGGTGGTCAGTGCTCTATGCTACCCAAGAGCTTGGTGGTTTGAATGCACTGCTGCTCCGTGACTGAACGACCAGTGACTGAAGGGTGACGATGTGAAACCAGCCCTGGACAAAGCCTCACCATCAACCCGTTTTGCAGCCTCCTCCACCTTGTGGGTCTCTGAGTCCCAACTAAGGGGCAACACCACAGCCGACAAGACTTGGGGACCACTGTGAGGGTGGGAGGGAGGGGCAGCTGGTGAGGCAGTGGAGGTGGGGCACAAGCCCAGCTCAAGTCTCTGCTCGAGTCTGCACCCACAGGAACTGGGGTCACTTGCTCAGAACCTGGTGGTCCTTGCACTGGGTCCTCACAGGTGCAGGGCACTAGGCTGTGCCTGCATATGTGCTGCTATTTCAACTCCTGCTCAGGACGTGGAGTTCATCCTCTTAGCATGCGTACCTTCTCTGTAACAGAACTTCCGTAACTTCCAGGACAATGCTGAGACAGCAGATGGATGTCTCTTCTAATCCTCCAACTCCTCTGTGATGCTCTCAATCTTTATTCATTTTGGGGTCTCTTTAGAAGTCCTCGGCTGGATAGTCCAGCTTAGAAATCTGAACTCAGCTGAATTCACTGCACCACCTCTAAGGTTTTAATGACAGCCCAACATTGTCTGCATCTTTGTTATGTGCTGCCGAGTAGACTATGACTCAGACTGACCCAATGAGCAATGGCTCTGAACCCTACCCTCTCCTGAGCCAGCCTCACTATCTCTGACACCTGATCTCAATGCCACAGTCACTGTGTCAGTTCATCTCATCCAGGCTCTTTCTCTCTTGCGCTGACTGCAAAACACATTAAGTCTTTGCACGCAGCTGTTCTTAACAGCTCAGATATGTGTATATTTGCTTGTTTATCATCTGCTCTTTTGGGTACAGTGCTTGTCTGTCTGATACTGCACTAAAGTGGAGCTCCCAAATTAAGTCAGAAGTATTGGCCATCCATTCTTGAAATAACAGGCATTAGAAAACTCTATAAACAATAGAGCACACTTAGACGATTGGATATAGCACTGGTGGCTGAGCGCTCCTCACAGAAAACAAAAATGAGGAGGAATAGCTGCAAACAGCCACTGATAACTAGAATGTGGTCCAATCGTATGAATGTAGAAAAACTGGACATTATTAAAAAAGAAATGGAATGTCTAACTATTGAGATAGTAGGCATTGGTGATACAGTTAATTAGCTTACACTTGATTGCTAACACAATTAGAAATGCCCAGCCAGTTTACCCACAGCTTTGAAGTAAACCATAAACACCCAATAGGATCTAACTATACCAAGCTAAAGGCTCATTCACAGGTAGGACTAAACCAACTTTTAAATATAAAGGCCCACCCACCAGATCCTGTTTGCCTACACAAACGACTTCCCAACTATGTTGACTGTAAATGACGTTGTTATGTGCCGTCAAGTCGCTTGCGACTCATAGCGACCCTATGTACAACAGCCCTAAACTCCACTCTGTCCTGTGTCAATCGCACTGTCTCCGACACTCCAATCCCAATTATCCCAGTCACTGAATCAATCCACCTCATAGAGGGCCTTCCTCTCCTGCGCCGTCCCTCCACCCTCCCAAGCATGATGTCCCTCTCCAAGGACCAGTCTCTCCTCACAACATGTCCAAAGTAAGTTAGACGGAGCCTCAGAATCCTTGCCTCCAAGGAGCCACCCGGTTTAACCCTTTCCAGGACGAATCTGGTTGCTTTCCTAGCAGTCCATGGTATTCTCAATACTCTTCTCCAGCACCACAGCTCAAAGGCATCAATTCTTCTATCCTCCTTGGTCATTGTCCAACTCTCTGATCCATAACAAGTGATTGCAAAGACCATGGCCTGTATCAGACGCACCTTAGTCTCCAGGGAGACACCATTGCTCTTCAGTACTTTGGAGAGGTCCCTAACAGCAGACGTTCCCATGGCAATGCGCCTTTTAATTTCCTGGCTACTTGGGCCAAAAGTGTTGACTGTGGAGCCAAGCAAACTAAAGCTGTGTACAATCTCAATCTCTTCACCATCCATCCTGATGCTGCCAATTGGTCCAGTGGTGAGAATCTTTGTCTTCTTGACATTGAGCCTCAATCCATACTGTAGGCTGCAGTCCTTGACCCTCTGCAGCAGGTGTTTCAGGTCCTCTTCAGTTACAGCAATCAGGGTTGTGCCATCTGCATAACGCAGATTGTTGATAAATCGTCCCCCAATCTTGACCCCACATTTCTCCTCATTAGATACAATTAATCCGTTTATATTCATAGATTGGAGGAGGTCCATATTTGTCCCCATTCCCAAGAAGGGTGATCCAATAATAGTCCAGCTTAGAAATATTATTGATATCACATGCTTGCAAAGTACTGCTGAAGATCATTCAAAAAAAGTTGGAACAGTACATAGATAGGGAACTGCCAGAAGTTCAAGTGGGATTTAGAAGAGGCCATGGTACTAAGGACATCATTGCTGATCTAAGACGGATTCTGGCTGTAGGTAAGGAATACTAGATGACTGTCTATTTGTGCTTTATTGACTATGCAAAGGTACTTGACTGTGTGGATCATGACAAGTTGTGGCTGACACTGAGAAGAATGGGGATCCCAGAGCACTTGACTGTGCTCATGAGGAACCTAGACCTAGATCAGGAAGCTGTTGTGCAAATGGAGCAGGGGAGCACTGCATGGTTTATAACTGGGAAGGGAGGGCATCAGGGTTGTATTCTATCTCCGTAACTGTTCAATCTCTATGCTGAGCAGATTATCTGAAAAGCTGGACTCAATGAAGAGGAGTGTGACATCAGGATTGGAGGGAGACTCATCAGTAACCTGTGTTATGCAGATGACACAA